TGAGAGGGAGAGAGAGAGAGAGAGAGAACAGGGAGAAAGAAAAGAGAAAAAAAAAAAACGATCGTCCTCTGCATGCCGCATCTCATCGTCCAAAACAAACGAATCAATTGTGAACTCCGTGAGTTCGAAGAAGTGGGTAGAGAGAGAAGAACACGCGGGGATTCCACGCAGTCGGATGATCGATAAGTCATACTTGCCTTTGTAGATCCTCGATGCATCAGCCGCGTTGAGTTTGTTACCGCACATTGTTTTGAACGTAAAAGTAAAAAAAAAAAAAAAAAATGAAAGGAATAGAAACAACATTAATAATAATAATTAATAACAAAATGTATTACCCTGATTAAACGACATCGAAAAATCACACGACGTGGATCGAAGCTCACGTGGAACGTCCGGCATGCATTCAACGTTATCGCAAGCATGGCCAGTCTGTATTAGCATGAGCATGTTCGTACATTCATCGTTCGTTCGATCGTTCGTTCGTTCTAATGTACGTATGATATATATCACACCCGCATCCATACATAGCGAGTCCACCAGTAGCCAGCCTAACGGCAGCACGAAGCAGCAGTCACAAGAGAAAAGATAATAAGAAAGAGAAATGAAGAAACGTGTGTGCCTCGAATTCCAGTAAAGATGAATCCTGTACTCGCCTTCGAATATCTGTTCTTCGCCGTCTTTGGTCAAACAACCCACGGCGAGCTGAAGGTCGAGACTAATCAGCCGCAGTGGACCTCGGTCCTGTTCAAGTTGGCCTTTGGTGTATACATGTTGGTCTCAGTAGTCGTATTAATTAATCTACTGATTGCCATGATGAGTGACACCTACCAGCGGATACAGGCCCAATCGGATATTGAATGGAAATACGGGCTCAGTAAACTGATCCGAAACATGCACAGGTAAGCCGGCAAATGTGTACCGAATACGAATTAAAGAGACGAGAATCGGATCCCTTTGTCGAAATTTATATATATATTTCGACTGTTTCCTATCTCTTATCGTTGAAAAGAAAATGAAAAGAATGTCTTGTCTCACTTCATCTTCCATCTAATTTTCGTTGTCATTGAATGGTTTTCGCGCCGCATATGTTTCCTCATCGTGTAGTTGTTCTTCATAAAATAAATCTACGGGATAGGTTGGACACGCGATTCCGTGTTGCAGAACGACCACCGCGCCATCGCCCCTTAACTTGCTCACTACTTGGATCGTGTACTTCATCAAGGTGTGCAAACAACACGCCGCGAAACGAAAACGTCCCTCGTTAGTGCATATGATGGGACTTCAGCGAGCTGCTCGTCTTTCGCCTAGATCGAAGATGGGAGCGAAATGGTTGGCGAAAGTGAAGAAAGGTCAAGTTAGACCAAAGGACAGTGTAACTTTATCTGTCGTGCATTTGAGTCCTCTTGGTAGTCAATTATCCTTCAATAGCGCTACGAGAATAGAGAATGTGGTTGACTGGGACTCGATCCGTAAAAAATATTTAGCTTTGGCCGGTAATGAGCCTGAAAAAGAAGCGGACAAGGATGCTAAAAACGAAGATGAGGAGAACGAGGATGAAAACACACCTATGGTTTCTAACTCTTCCACGGTACCAACGACTACAACGCCACCTGTTTAAAAGAAGTTGCTCCTTCGCCTCGGAAAAATATAAAAAAAGTTCGATCAATTATTATCAAATTTTATAGATTTATCGAGTGCGATGATGCATAAATATTCTTATCGCGCTGAATATCGTAAAGTGAAAAATAATTTTTATGCGGAAATATTTATTTTAGATAACGTTTCGTAATTAGATTCATAATATTTGAAGGTTAACTAATTCGCGTGATATGAAAAAGTGCTATCATTTTGGAATTTACGTAAGTAATATCACGAATTAGAAATAGAAAAATACGATCGTCGTATAGTCTGTTCATAAATATTTGACAACATGACTATTTACTTTTGGATTGTATTAGAATTTTCCATGGTTCTCTGCTAAAGTGGTAGGATTTTTAAATGATAATTCGTCCAAAATAATCCGGTTGATCCTTAAAAATGTATTCCTTATTTTTTTTATGATCCTGAAATAACGCGTTCTTCACGAACTAGTATTATAATCACAGTGATACTATAAGTGTTAAACATTGAGGACAACAAAAACACATACGTATTTACACATAAATACATACATTCGTATACGCAACATCTACGCACATATAGACAGATTGAAGAATACATCGCGATACATGGAATTTTCACAAAACATATCGTTACCACATATTTCCAGTCAGGATGAGTCCCGTATTGGCCGTTGAGTTATTGTTCTTCGCCATCTTCGGTCAGACGACCCACGAACAATTCAAGGTTGAAATAACGCAGCCCGAATGGACCAAAGTTCTCTTCAAGCTCACCTTCGGTATTTATATGCTGGTTTCGGTGGTTGTGCTGATTAATCTTCTAATTGCCATGATGAGTGACACTTACCAAAGGATACAAGCTCAGTCCGACATCGAATGGAAATACGGATTGAGTAAGCTCGTTAGAAATATGCACAGGTAAGGATTTATAATTGTTGCTGATTGGTAAAAAAATGCCGGAATCTTCCATAATGTATCTTTCGAAAAATTAAAATTGAAATAGAATCGGTATCGATTTATCGATACTATAACGTTGCATGTCCGCGCAGGTTAATTCGTTCGGTCGATTGCGAAAATTCTAATTGATTAGCTACGTTTATCGATGCGTAGGACAAACACGGCGCCATCATCATTGAATCTTCTTACCACCTGGATAACATATTTGTTCAAACACTGCAAAAAACGGGCTGCGAAAAAACAACGACCTTCTCTTGTCCGCTTGATGGGGTTGCAAAGAACTGATGCTCTTTCACCACGCTCCAAAATGGGCACCAAATGGTTATCCAAAGTAAAAAAGACTCAAGTGGCTCATAAAGAAAGTATTGCCTTGTCGGTTGTTCATTTAAGTCCTCTTGGCAGTCAATTATCGTTTAGTAATGCTGTCAGAATCGATAACGTTGTCGATTGGGAAGCAGTCCGACGAAAGTATCGAGATCTTTATGGTGAAAAGATCGAAAAACATACTGAAGAATCGAAAGATATTATCGAACACGACCCTCTACCGGCTGTTTTGGAAAGTTCATTGGCCGGTGTTCCCATTGGAAACCAAACTATATCTACTTCTGTTTCTTGAATCGATTACTTTTCACAATCGATATATTGATTAGAAAATGGATCTATTTGAATATATTCTATCTAATTGAATATATTTTTCTGATATTAAATTATTAAAATAAAACGTACGAATTTATCATTTTCCAATATAAATGTACAATCTTGCATCTTGCATTTGATCTTGAAATAAACATCAGAGATGACCGGATCATTTTATTGATTCTACTATTATTCATGGTCCTTTTACCTTTTCTTGCATCGATACAACAATTATCGTTTCGACCATGTTTTAGAGAAGACTACCAAGGAAATGATGTTGTATAGCAACAATGTATAGGAATTTGATATATCTTTAATGGTTAGTTTCTGTATACATATATAATCATTTGTATTGTTTTGCTCTTTCATTGGCACACTAATGAATAAATCGATATAATTCCATTATATTAAACAAAATATTGTTACTAAATGCACGTGTGCATGTTGATTAAACATCACGATGCTTATTATTTAGCAAAATCGAGTACGTATTTGTAACATTTAATCGTATCATGAAATCGGTTCGTCGACCGTTTGCCGTTCGAATCTTAGTTGATCATGACACGCTGTCTTCATTAATTAGAATCGCACAATTAAGATCATACAAGATATCATATATCTTGACATCGATATCACAAACAAATATTAATATACTATACATATACAATAATTATTATATATATAATATGTAATATATATATATATTAATTATAATAATTATTTATTTAATAAATATATAATAATTATATATATAATAATTATTTAAAATATCGGAAATTCATTAACAATTATAATAATATTCATCTTCATTCTTTTTTTCCAATATAATAATTGATTTCTATTCTCTTTGCCTTTCCTCCTCATTTTCATTGCTTTCATTGTTTCACATACTGTATACATCTTTTTTTTTCAACCAATGGCATTAATAATTAGAACGCAATGATTAAATTACAACTTTACAGAAAATAAATGATATAATTAAATACAAAATGACAATCTTTGCGTTTCAGAAGAAATAAATTTAACAATTTTAGACGCTTGATTATATTCTTTCAGTGAAAGTGAATCCCATTGATATTACGGAAAATCTTTTCTTCGCTATTTTCGGGCAAAAGGATACGGATGATTTTACAATATCATTAAAAAGAAAGATGCAACCAAATTGGACAATATATTTTTTTAAGGTCAGATCAATATTCATTCATTTGTATGATCAATAAAAAAAATATTAAATTGATTAATACTTTCATACCTTAATAGATATCCTTTTCTCTGTATATGTTGGTTAGTGTAATTGTACTGATCAATTTGTTAATTGCCATGATGACTGATACATATCAAAGTATTCAATCTCAAAGCGATATCGAATGGAAATATGGGCTCAGTAAACTTATTCGTAAAATGCAAAAGTGAGTATCTCGCAAAAAATAGATTTTAAAATCAAATTTTTTTGCAGATAAATACAATAAAATAAAATTTTTTTGCAATTAACACGATAAAACATCCTATTATATATTATACGAAATGGATTTTTAACGAAAATTTTAACGAAAATCGAAATCCTTATCTATTTTAAGAACACGTACAGCACCTTCGCCGTTGAATCTCATTACTTCTTGGATTCCATATATTGGAAAAACATGTAAACATCGAAGTCGTTTACGTAAAACTGGTGTCATGCATTTATTTACAGGACATTCGTTTATTCAGGTATGTCAAAGAAATGTAAATAAATAAGTAAAACATATCGACAATACTTTTTTTGTTCAGGACAATGGAACATTAACTCAACAACATGATACTATTAATTTTGAATTACTTCGATCGAGTCCATTGGAAAGTCAATTATCATTAAAAGATTCAATAAGAATTGAAAATATTGTTGAATGGAATCTTGTAAGACGAAAATACAGATTACGATTTGGTAATGAAATCGAAAAACCATTTACGGAAGATTCATCTATGATTAACTATTGAATAATATTATATATAATTTATTGATACTTATAAAGTCGCCATTTTTTCATGAATGAAATCTTTATATTTTCTATTTGATATTTCTTTTATTTTGCTAATTTATGAAATATATTTCTGTATGATTAATGAAAAAATTATAAAAATTATTAATTATTAATTATTTTAAATCAAATAAAACATTTTAATAAAATATAACTTTTTTTTATAATATAAAAAATATATTTATTATTTCATATTTATATAATTTGTTTTAATTAAAATAATACTTAAATTCTAATAATTAGGTTTGTTAAGATATGTTATTTCTCTTCCATATCTTTGGTGCGTAGTTACAGTAAGACCGAAAAATGCAGCTTGTTCACGTATATATTTATCTTCTTCAGGTGTTAAACATTCAGGTAGCGGTTGTCTTAAGATTTGATTATCTTCAGAAAAAGCTTTACACATTTCGTGCGCAGCTTTTTCGAAAGAAGAAAATTGTTTCTTTTCTTTCTCTTCAATTTTTAAACAATTTCTCCAAAGACGTTTTTCT